TGATGATTTCTCCCTGAGACACCACCATCTTGGTCTGGGGTCATTTAAACAAGGCCACCTGCTCAGCCCCCAAGGTGGGCTGAGGCATTGTTTGCTAAAGAGTAAGGGAAGAATTTTTAACGTCTTAACTTCTTGGGTATTAAAATGCAATCTTATCTTTAAGGTGGAATCCTTCCTGCCTTTTACTGTGTTGTTTATGCCTGGGCTTAATTGCTAAATTAGTTGCCCAGTTTGCAAAATCACTTCATCAGATCTGAAGGAGAAAGACAGCACATAGGCCTGGGCCTTTTAGTATGCTAAAGAGAACCTTACACATAATTATAAATGGTTAGCATAATAAAACATGTGCTACTCTTCTTTATCTGGGGAACATGAACTGATTTTACTGAAGAATGATTCTAGAGTTCAAAGTTTAATATAGAGTTTTAGTAGGGGGGTTTCCTTGCATGTAGTTACATTGCTCTGACTGCAAATATCCTGCCCTGCCCCTTCCAGGGGCCCTCACCCTACTCTGACTACATCTATGGTCCCTGTCTCATTCCCCCCCTACAGATAGAGACCCTAGCTGCTGCTAGGCAAAGGGGGCGACGACTGCTCTGGCTGCTTCATGCTGAGAGGGGGTGCAGTAAGGTCTCCATCACTGGTCATTCGAGAGGGCCTCGGAAGATGGGCACTTCTATTCCAGGTTCTATCTCCATTTGCAGTTTTGTGGCTTCTAGGCACGATAGAACGAATTGTGTTATTTTTAAGTTAAGTAGCAACATCTGGAGTTGGATTTTCCATTCTGGAAGGACAAACTTGTTGAGATTAAGAATGCATGGCTGAATATAAGAACTAGAGATAGTAAAACTTTAATTGCAATGATAAGAGAAAACTAAAACATCTAGAGAATGATAGCTAGATATTTTGAAGAAGCTAGAATTCTGGATCTAGTTTGTCTCAATGACTAGTATTAGGATTTAGTACAGATAAGGCTGCATTATTGACACAATACTTTTCTCTAAAATCACCCTCATTTTTACTAGAAGTAACCAGATTAAGAAAATAAACACTTGGTTTTATTATTTGCATAAGTGCAGCAAGAAGAGCAATTGATTACATAGGCTCTTTTAAATACGCTTTTCTGGAACTTTTCATAAGGAATTTCAGATTAAACTTTTAAAGGCCTCTTGAGGCCAGACAGCCAAGCCAGACTTGCCATCAGGTTGTGCCTGCAGTATCTGTTCATTTGGGTGAATTCCTCTCTTCTTGAGGTTCCTGCACCTGCCAGGAAGTGTGACCTTCCTCACTCACCTGGTAAGGCCGCTGGGAACTCTGTAAGCAAGGTACCAGGCCAGTTCTTCCAAGGGGCTTTGTTGGCTTTATAAAGTCAACCTTAGTTCCTGAAAGCTGTTCATATCAGAGTTTAAACACGTGTCTCTCAGGTATGACATTCCAGTCAAAGCCTTGGTAATATAACCTGTGTTTTTAATTGGTTCTCTTACAAGGAAAGCAGGTTCTTATTGAACTTATGAAAATAAACATACTGCCATGAAATACAGAAATACTGAAAGCTTTTAAATTCCTGAGGGGTCAGGTAGAGAGAAAGATAAATGTTTCAATTCTGCTTATAAAGGTATTGTCATTTACGAAACTGTTGTCAGTCAGCTTAAGAGAAAAAGCTTAAAACACTTTATCAGCAACATTTGAAACAAAAAGCCACAAAATCATCTTCCTTAGTTTACTTAATCCTATGTAACCAATACCTGTTCTGCTGAAATCTAGTTCTTTACTAGTTTAGGAGTAATAAAACAGTGACTAGGAATGAGAAAAGACTTACAAATGACAATGATTAAAGATCTGATGAGAGCTTACTGTAAGACAGTTGACAGAAGGAAATTCGGATATTTCTGTAACACAAAACATTCAGTTACAAAGTTTAGCATCATTCCCTTTGACAATGCTTTGCAGGTGATTAAGCAGGTAATTATATATATCAGATAAATAAGCCAAATTAGCCAAATACTTTCTCCGATGAGAAAAAAGTTCCTCTAACATGTTCCAGGAGTCCTCTGGAAAATATCAGAGTTAACTAGAGGTAAAAGTACCTTTTTGAATTTGATTTTTTTTTGGCACTTGCTTAAATAGGATTATAGATTGCCATGAAGCAATACTTATCCATTTAACCAGAATGACAACAAAATACCTCAAAGGCAAATAAAGAAGGTTACACAGTTGTTAGCAAAGTTCAGCTTTTGGTCTTTTTAATATTAAGATCTCATTTTCTTAAATATTCCAACAACTCACTGAGACTTTAAGCATGAGAAACTGCTTTGATAAAACAGAAAACCCTTTGCAATCTTTCAATATTAAGAGCAGACTAACAGTTAAGAAAACTGTCTTTTTAACTGAAAATAAAATTATAATTTTGCTGTGTACTTGATCCTGAGACTCATTTGCTTTAATTTTATATAGCATGACCATATTAAATCCTTCTAAAACTTTCTACAACCTTCTTTTTATTTAGAGTTCTCCCTCTAAATAAACAGTTGTACTTTAGAACAAAGTTACTTTCTATTATCAAAATATACATTCTTTAGCATGCAGAAATGTTTTCCTTATTACTTTAAGTAGTTTTAATTAGAACTTAAAACCATTAGGTACCTTAATTTTCAGTGAACACTGAGAAGCAGGCTATTGTAAACTGTTACACTAGCATTCTTTAGATTGACAAATTTATGAACATTTTATAATTTTTGTAACCATGAGCTTTACAACACAATTTCTCACTAAACACAAAGTATATCTTCTTAACTTAGCAAAACTTTAAGGTTTTAGGTTACCACAAAGACTCTCAGGCTGTGGTAGGTATACATACTGTAACACACAATTATTATTAAGAAGTTCACTTGCTACATTTAGTTTACTCATTCTTAACAACTATGCCAGACTACTTACAAAACCTTTACTGAATATTAGACAAAGTCAAGCCTCTAAGCATTTTATTCTTGAAAGATTTAGCAGATAACATCAACTTAAATGACTTTAGGTAAACTTAGGCAGTTGATAACTATAAGGACATGTCAGTTTCAGTTCAACTTAAATTAGCATTAATGCTTAATATTTTCCATTAGAATTCTGTGGAAGTTTTAGAATGCCCAATTTTCACAAGCGCTTGTCTTTAAATCAATTCCATTAATACCATCCGGAGGTAGAAAAATCTTTCATCTACACGCTTAGACACACGAACATACAGACTAAGACATAATGACTACAGTTAGCAACATTCTTCATAAAAAGAACATATACACAGACAGATAAAATGACACAGAGACTTGAGTTACTGATATCCAATTGCCTTTCCTTTTAGCTCATTTGACTGAAAGTATCTCAGTTTTCAAAAATACAACCTACAGGCGAGCACTTTATATAACTGGCTTAAGGTTTAGAGGGCCCCAGACTAACAGGGCAGATGAAGGCTCTGACCTCATAGGGACTGTGTATCTCCAGGTGGCTGGAAATGAAATGCAAGTACAATTCTAGCTCCAGTCATTTAAAGCCAGGCTGTATAACAGAAGATAAATTTCTTCTGTTTCAGGGAGTCTAGTTTAAAAACCTCTCAATTTTTGAAGATAATGAACCCAATAAGTAGAATAGATTTCCACCAAAATAATTTAGAAAACTAGTTCCACATTATAGTCTACGAGACTGTTGATTATTTTCCTTCCTGGCATTAAAATAAATTTAGCTGCATAACTTTATTATGTACTTCTCTCAGGGGCCAAGCCTCTCCAATCAGAGACTTTGTATGGAGGCCAGGCTTGGGTGCAGAAGATGAAGGACTTTTTTCAGGGTCTGGGGATCAAAATTGCTCCCAGTTCTTTAGAATGCATGCCAGAGGCGTGTCTGGCTTTAACCTTGAAGAGGATGCTCCCATCTGAAAGAGAGAGAGAGAGAAAGACGGGTATCCAGCACCTGGTCAGCCTCTCTCTCTGTGAGGGCATCCCCTCTCCTTGGAGCCTAGGTGACAGTGGTCAATCACCCCCTCTGCCAGGCTTACTGGATTTAACCACTCCTTACCAGCGTGGCCTGCACCTTGCCTTGATTCCCCTCTTGCCTTCCCACTAAGCAAGAGTCGCCTCGGAGCTCTGGATTTAGTGGGACCTTACCAGTGGGCTCCTACTTACACCTTTTGGGAGTTTCCCTAGTTTTCTCTGCACGAGCTTCCCTTGAGCACTCCCTGCCTGTCTGATAAGTGCAGGGACTGTGTGACTTCTTGCTGCCAGAGCTCTGATCTAAGTCACAAGCCTGTTTTGCTTTCCCGGGGCTGCAGAAAAGGAAATGCCTAGCCCCAGGACGACTGCCCCTAAGGAAAGGAGATCAACAGAATAGAGCCATTTGCATGTTGGTCTCACGTTTCAGCTTGATTACTTTACAGACATCATTTACATTACACAGGAGAAAGTGGTGCAGGCCTAAGAGGACTGCTTTGAATGGAGAGCAAGGGAGCTTTTTGCTAAGGCCAGAAATAAAATTCAGGGGCTGCCACGGACATATGGGTGGGGGGGGCGGCCCTACACTCTCAAACACCAGTTTCTACCACTGCCTGGAAATTATCTTGCCAGTCACCCACTATAACAAATCTGATCGCTGAGACAAGAGGTCAGGGGTCATCTGCAACTCTCGCATAGGCAGCAGCCTAGCCAGAGGTTCACTCAGCGCCATCGGATCAATCAGCCAGAGCCGAGATCCAAGGATCACTGTCTACTAGTCCGGTCTGCCCTCAGAGTCCGCAGATTAGAAGAAAGTAGGAAATCGGCTCAGCCACTCCCCGACATTCCCATCCATCTGGAGGAGGGGGATCAAGGAGCAGCAGACACCGGGAAACCTTTCACCCTAGACTTAAGACTGGTAGCTGACGCTGATCATCTTTTAAGTGGCTAACGGGTGCCCAGACACATTTTTATGAGATAAAAGTACAGCACTTAGTTAGGAATAAGAGCGGAGCGTGGATCTCCTACCTTGTGGTGGTGAGCATCGGGTTCCGTGAGATTGATGAAGTTAGAAGGGAGTTAGAATGCCCCCTGCCTCACTGAGGCCAGGGCGGCCTGAAGAAGCAGGCTGGGAGTCAGAGGCAGAGAGAGATGCTCCTCACGGATACTCAATTGGGCTGTCGGGGTCTGATTCCAGACACGCGGGCCTTTGAGAAGCCGCTGAAGTGCAGCCTCAGCCTAGACTCTCACAGGTGCCCACAGCCTTCCTCAGTCCCTGGCATCCAAGGAGAGGCCTCCGAAAGCGAGCCCTGGCCTCCACTCAGCTGACATTCCCGGCTCCCAAGGGAGACAGGGGATCCACTGAGGGAGACGCAGGGGAACCAGTCGCTTGAGACTTTGAGATCGGCAACCAGGCTAGTTCCATTTAAGTGGCTGACAAGCGCCCGATGTTCTGTGCCACAGACGGCTTCCTTCTATAAGGACAGTGAGAGAAAAGGCAGGCTCGGATGCCGATACTCACCTCCGAAGTTATCCCGGATGAGCCCCCAAAGATGATGTCAGGGTTCTTGTTTGCAGAGCCGAAGAATGAGCTTCACAAACAGTCAAGGTAGGAGAGCGAGGTACAAGCTTTTATTTAGAGATAAAGTGAAAGGACAGAGCTCCCGGCTCACGCCAGGAGGGGACACCAGAGTCCCTATATACGCATTCTTAATGGCAAATGCTCTGAGTCTAGTTCAAGTTACTCTACATATTCAACATTAAAACTTTTCTATCTGATTAAGCTATTTATTTAACTACTGGTGTTGATGTACTTTTTTTTTTTTGAGAGGGATCTCTCATATTTATTGATCAAATGGTGGTTAACAACAATAAAATTCTGTATAGGGGACTCAATGCACAATCATTAATCAACCCCAATCTCAACAGTCTCCAGTCTTCTGAAGCATAATGACGTACTTTTTTTTAAGTTATACATTCACTGTTATAACAGCTCATTTCTTCACAGATTCAGAGACAATGTGGTGAAATCTTATCCCCCTAAGTATAACAACTACACCTAGAATAAGCCTGGTGTTAATTCAGAGACATCTTCCAACCTGTGTTATAAAACGGGGTCTAAATGCATTAAACAGACTTTTAGTTAAAAAAAAAATTAATCTAGTCAATTAATCACACTCACCATGTTTGGGATGCTACGAAGTGCCTGGAAATGGGGAGTTTCATCCATCCTTTAAAAGTTCAGGGTACAGCGTGTGGGTGAAGTTTTCTGAGCAACCTTTCCCTCTTTCAGCCTTTGCTGCTGTGAAGCCAAAATGTGGGCACTGAGTCTGCATTTTGCAACCCACAAAAAATGTGGCTAAGGCCAGAGAACAGACGTATTTACACTTTTGGAGGCCCCACTTGCATGAGTCACGTGACAGCGGCCCCAAAGGGAGTTTCTGCACCCTCTGCTGGTCGCGGATGCCAGTCAGGGGAGAGGGCGCCCTCCAGCGGTAAGTTTTGGGAACAAACACTGACACCTGGGAAAGGGACTGGGAATTCTGGGTGACCTTCCTTAACAGATACACCTCTAAAGCTTCCCAAAGCTAAATCCTATCTGTGCAGTACCAGAAATAACCTAATGGTCCGATGTGTGTGCGTGCACACACACACACCCAAAAAAATCCCAGTATCTCTGGAAGAAGCAGGGAACTAGGAAGGTGCCTGCCTCCTGGAATGGGGACATCATTAGGGAGGTGGGGATGGGAGGAGACTCACTTTTCTCACTTTCCTTCTTCCCAAACTGATTATGAAAAGCTTTCACACATATAGAAAACTTGAAAGGAAACTGCAATGAATCCCCACATACCACTTAGGGATCCCACAACTGCTGCCATTGCCATATTCGCTTTATTTTTGCATTAATTTGCCTCGATTATTTGATGACAGACCCACATTTCACTATAAAATTTTATACCTTTGAATGTTGCACTGTGTATATAGAGTCCATCCAAATAAATTAGTAATAATACACACACGAGAGCAGTTGTGGGGGAGGATTAAATGAAATGAGATGTATGTAAACTACCTGGCACAGTGCCAGGCACAGGGTACCTGCTCAGTGAATGCAACTATGGTCATTCCCAGATTTCTCTTCATTTGCTTTTAGGTTCCACAGTCAACGCATTGCCTTTGATTTCACCCTAGGTAGGCAGCAGACAGGACGGGGCTGTTTTGGAGCTGTGAACAGGGCTCCAGAATGCTTAGCGACTCAGAGCTGGCCAGGTACCAAGGGGGCCCCCAGACTGTCCTGGCATCTGGGCCTTTTCCCACTTCAGCCCTCTTTCTACTTTTCCACACCTCTCTCTATTCTCAAAGGCTCCTGGTGGACCCAGGGCAGGAGGGATAGTAACCCTGTAGGAAGTGACAGCGCTCCAGCCACCCTGTCAGAAGCAGAGCGGGGAAGAGGCCCCCAGATGCCACAGTACAGAACTTTCTGGGCTGCTCCATGTAGGCACATACCCACCTTTTTCCACAGACTGTCTTGTAATAAGGTTTACTATTTTCTGATATCAGCAAATGTACCATAAATATAATTCAGAATGTGGTAAAGAACAGAGATACGAACTGAGTCTCTAAATATATAGATCATATATGTAATTAATAATATACATAGATGCAATATAGTACTCATATATTAATGTATCTATAAATAATATATATTCATGTGAACTAGGTGTGTTATTGGAAATAACATAAATGTAAAATACAATTCAGTATGTGATATAAACCAAGTAGTTAAAAATTCTATGCTAACTAGGTCTCTCTCTCCACACACACATATACAACATATATAACACATGTACTACACATTATGTACATCATATATATATAATACATAGATGGTATGATAAATTGTTTAACTTATTTAGAGGCCTAGTTAACATTTCCAACTACTTGGTTTTTGCCACAGACTGAATTACATTGGACCAGACTAGCCGTTTCCCCAGCCATGGGCCAAAAGTCCCATCTCTTATTTTCTAGGTAACCAGTCGAGTCACCACCTGCTCTGTTAGCCATGACCAACGTAACTCTGGGGCCTCAAGCCTCCTTGCCAACTGCCCATGAATCCAGAGTCTTACTCCAGACCCCGGGGATAGGGGAACTCACCTGCCCCACAAAGGCCCCGGTTTTCAGCTGTCCTGGCCCTGCTGCTGCCACACTGGGCAGCCGCGAAAGCAGGTCCCTGAAAGCCACGTGTGCTTCTCCAGTGCCAGGAGGCTGTTCCTCAGGGCCTGACATTTCTAGAGGAGAAGAGGCCCCTTTTTGTAGGGTTGCAGGGACCCGGATGCATTAGGTCTGGGTACCAGTTCACTCACTATGGAAAGACCCGCCAAGCCAACGAGTAAAACCCCGACAAGAATAACGTTTAGCATTCATGGGGCATTTACTGTGTCCTGTGCACTGTGCAAAATACTCTTGATACATTATTGCATTTAACTGTATTGTCTCAACCCCTCTACAAGGTGGGCATTGCTCCCTGGCCAGAGCTTTCCCCTTCTGGTGAGTTCCTCTTGGAAGATCTTAAGTCTAAAAAACTCAGTAACATTTATATGACACTTACTATGTGGCAAACACCGTCCTAAGCAGTTTTACAAACATTAACTCATTTAACCCTCCTAGTAGCTCTAGGAGGTAGGTACTGCTATTATCCCCATTTGAATACCACAAAATCCATATGTTGAAACCTAATCCCCAGTGTGATGGTATTGGAGGTGGGGCCATTGGGAGATGAGGTCCTCACCAATGGGATTAGTACCTTAAAAGAGAGACCCCAGAGTGCCCCCTCTCCCCATCTGCCACATGAAGGCACTGGGACAACTGCAGATTACAAACTAGGAAGCCGGCTCTCACCAGACACCAATTCTTCTGGCACCTTAATCTTTGGACTTCCCAGCCTCCGGAACTCCAAACAAATGTCTGCTGTTTATAAGCTACCCAGTCTATGGTGTTTTGTTATAGCAGCCCAAATAGGTCAGAGAGCTGAGGAACAGATGCTATCAGTATTGAGCATGAGATCACACAGCTCGGAAGTGGCAAGACTGGGATGCTTGCACCTGCCTGTGGAAGTGTGGTACAGATCTCAGGGTGGGAACGTGCACAGTTGGCGGGAGTGTGGGGAAATAGGTGCTTTCAGACACTGCTTGTGGAGAGGGAAATTTGGAAATCAGTATGACACTACTGAACACAAGTTAAGAACATAGTTCCTTTGACCTTGAAATTCTTCCTCTAGAAATTATTCACAGATGGTTATATGAGTGTGCAAGGCATAGGTGCACACCACATTTGTAACAGTAAAGACTACAGGCCTAGGGCATGATGAAATAGGGCATCAGTTAAATGAATTATGATACAGCCACACTCTGGAACACTACACGGCTGTGAACGGTGAAGGAGGAAACTGATTTGCACTGAAGTGCAAAGTCCTCCAAAACACATTCCTAATGGAAAAGAAACAAAGCACGGGGCGGTATGTGTATCTTGAAATCTAACATTGAAGTTAAGGATGGCGTTCCAATGCTGTACTTCAGGGAGATTAAACACACGCCACCCTAGACACCACACTGCCTGGAGTTACGAATCCTTTTAATAACCATTTGCTGAGAAGCAAACGGTGGTGGGTGAATCAGTGAAAGAGACCAGAACCCAGAAGTCCACCTAACTGGTAGCAGTTCACAGTTTTTTTTTCTTTCCAGTTCAGCCTGGTCTCAAAGGAAAGCTGCTCCATACCCAGAAGTATTCGTCAGGTGCGGCCAGAAAGAACACCAGGAGAAGCCCTCTTGTGACCTGAGGTGTGTATAGTGTTTGGGGAGTGGGAGGTGGCGGAATGTCCCATTTGGGGTTTTGCTCTGCTTCTTTCTGTCCTCCCCTGCCCCTGCCCCAGCCCACCCGCAATGCTGGCGGCAGCGGCGGGTAGGGTAGGCAGGTGATTAAAACCCTGAGGACGGAGAAAGCCACCCAGAGGGGCTGTGGTTCCCAGAGCGTGGAGAGAGTCCCATCGCTTTATTTCTGCCCAGTCCTCCCTTGGTCCCGGATGCAGACACAGTGGTGGGAAGTACAGCACAGAGCAGGGAAACTAAAGGGCCGCTGAGAGGAGCTGAATTGTGTCCCCTCAGATTCAGAGTAAAGTCCGAAACCCCAGTACCTCAGAAGATGACTATTTTGAGATGGCCTTTAAAGAGGTAAGTAAGGTGAAATGAGGTCATCAGGGGGCCCTAATCCAATATGGCCGATGTCCTTATGAGAAGAGGGGATTAGGACACAAACATGTGCACGCACAGAGGCAAGACCACGTAAGGTCACAGCAAGAAATTAACGACAGGCTTCATAGGGAACTGGCCCTGCAAGAACCCTGATGGTGGACTTCAGCCTCCAGAACTGAGGAAATGCATTTCTGTGGTTGAAGCCCCCTCGGCTACAGTATTTTGTGATGGCAGCCCTAGCTTGCTCACACACCTATCATCCGGATGGGAGACTGGGAGCGGAGACTCAAGGGCGTCAGAAAATATTAGGGAGACCCTAGCGATGAGTGAGACCAAGAGAGACATCCCAGAAAGTTGCGTATGAACTCCTGGGCTCAGCCTAGTGAGCCTGCACAGGCCGATCTGACCCTACACACCGTACCAGACTTGGCCAACTGAGATACAAGGTAGCACAACAGCCCAGGCCCCTGACTGACCACTAGGTGGCACCCACGTGCGCTGAGGGGAATAGCCCTACAAACGCTTTCAACTCAGGGGGCTGGAACCACACCCCACAGCAGGCCCCTTGACACCTGAAAGGGAACCTACCTCCTGGATCACCTGCGGACATTTTAAATAACACTCTAGCTCGGCAAAGAAATAAAGAGAAAAGACACAGGTCACTAATTTCAGGAATGAAAAAGGGGATATCACTAAAGACCCCATAGACTTTAAACATGAATCTTTAAAAGGTGAACAAATCAATATATATAAATGTAACTGAGATGAAATGGACCTAGTCCTCGAAAAATACAACCAACCACAATTCTCCCGGGAACAGATAACTTAAAGAACCCTATGTTTATTAAATAAACGGAATTTCTAGTCAAAAGCTCCTCAAAAAAGACATCTTCAGATGACTTTGGTTACAAATTCTATCAAACGTTTAAAGAAGAAATAAAACCAGTTCCACACAATCTCTTCCAGAAAATAGAAGAGGAGGAACACTTATTCTGATTTTTTTCACTTAATATTATAATTTTTCCCCTTACTATATTATATATTCTATAATATATAAAAATAATATATAATATATAAACATTTTTGCACATTTAATATACTTTGAAAATTATATTTTAGTTATGCAAGATTTCAATGGCTGCTAGA